TATATATATAAACACACCCTGGAATGCATCATTCGTAATAGAAATTTGAATGAACCGTACGTGTTTACGAGCGTAAGATACGCTGCCCGGACGCATCTCGGTTCCATTCTGTTTTTGAGCATTTTCATTCTACGCAAATATACGGCTCCATACGCAACTGTGTGTGGAGCCATTTATTTGCATATGGGACAATACGCACGTACGAGCATATACGTGTGGCAGTGTGAATGAGGCCTCAGGGTACTGTTTTGGCATGGTTATCTTTCCTATAACATAACAGAATTCCTCTTTTTGAGTTCAGGTCCAATTTTTAAGGTTTGTTTGTGTGTAATTTTTGTTTGTATACTGTAATTCTTCCAAAGGAGATGTGAACTCCATCTTGCAGAGTCCACTCATCTGTTTACACTTCCTCAGTAGCTACATGGGCATTGCAGTACCAGTGTGGTGCAGGCATTGCATGGGTAAACGCTTGAATGGACATGCACGTCTTTTTAGCCTGCCACTTCAGCTGTTAAAGTACAGAGCAACTTATGGTTTCTGCCATAGTATATTCTGTACTGCTGGGCACCTAAACCTGTGGATCTGTTAATTTTCATTCTTTCAGCGATATTGAGATTTCTCGAAGGCAGAACCCGAAAGCCATTGATGTGCTTGCCAAGGAGATCGGATTGCTTTCAGATGAACTTGAAATGTATGGCCGGACCAAAGCCAAAGTACGCCTGTCTCTTCTGGAAAGGTTAAAAGATCAACCATGTGGAAAATATGTCTTAGTTGCAGGGTAAGCATACTCAACTGGGCCTTTTTAAATGTTAACTTTCCGTGTTTTTTTTCTCTCTGCTTAGCTGTTGTAGATTCTTGCTTTTGGAGTGTATAGACTGATCGTGTTTTACGTGCGATAGTCTCTGCATTTTCAGTGTAATGTATATTTTATTTCATTGTTTTGAATGCATAAGTACTTTAGGGCCAGTTCACACATACAGAGGTGACTGGTGTTATTCCCACACCAGACCCACACTAGTGCACAAAGAAAACGGCTGTTTTTCTATATCCCCTGTTCACATCACAACATGGTTGTAATGTACGGTGCACTGCAGTAAAATTTGAACATACCACATCTTTCTGCAGACATGAATGGAGTGTACGCTTTGTACATTCGAAATACAGTTGGGAGAAAAAAAATAAACGTGACTTGCATTGTAACGCAAGCACTGTGACTCACTGCCGCCACCCAGCAGACACTAGATTCACAGTAAAGGTGCCCATACACCTTACGACCATCGCAAGACTTTGTCTTGCGATGGTCATAAGCTTATTAAAAGCTCGTACGATCTGCCCATCTTGGACTGGCAGATCATACTTGTGATCATCGCATTGCGATGATTGCAGTGCAGAGCAGGCAGTGTGCGCTTGCTCACACCGGCCCTTGCGTCATTCGTCTTCCGACCCACGCTACCAACCCGTTTTTCTGCGTGCGCACACCGGCCCGTTCCGCAGTTGTCAAACAAGCAGGCCACTACCCCGCCGAGAATCGTACGACTCTCGGCGGGTTTTCATACCTGCTTGTTCGACGGAAGACGTGCAACCGTTTCTACTGTACGGTTGACCGTACAGTAGAAACGGTCACACGCCTTCCATACACTTTGCGATTATCGTACGATCATGGGATTTAACTCGATTCTCATAGGAGAATCGTACAGTGTATGGGCACCTTAAAACACTGCAGTGAAGTGCACCTAGTGTGAAAGAAACTGGTTGCCTTGCACAGCTGCTCCAGATTTTGTCTGCTCGAGTTTTGAGAAATCCCCCTCAGTGTGTTTTACTGTGCAGCTAGTGTAAATGAGCCCTTTAATGGAAAAATCATTAAGTTATATGACTAAGATGCATTTAATATTCACCTTTTTAATCTATGCAATTTTTAGTTTCTTGTTCCTGCTTATAATTACAAAATGACTACCAATCATTTTAGCTTTACATAGAATTATGCTAAAACTAATGATTTTTAAAGGGTAATTCCACATTCCCAGGTGAATTTAGGAAAATTGAATTACCCCTTTAATCTGGCCCCGAAACCCCTCCCACCCCCCATACTTGCCTTTGGGCGAATGCTCCTTTCCCTCCACTGGTGCTGGTGTACTATCCATAACCCGTACTGCTGTGTCGCGCAGCTCTGCGCTCTGTTTTTGAATTTCGCTCGCAAATGGCAAGCAATCATTGGTCAACGTGGTCAGAAGCACTTCTCATTGGTGAGGATGGGGAGCGGAGCACGTCCATTCTCTGGTCTGCTCTGTCTGAACGGTGAGACAGGAGCACTTCTTACTACTCACAGCAGTGCAATGCTGTGGTTGAACTCCTGTATTGGACAGGCTCCATAAAGAGATCCTGTCACCTCGCATGGATTTTAGTCTTGGTGTAATTGAAAAAAAATGCATTTTTTTATTAGTTTTGGGTTTGGTTTTTTTAGTACTGTTACAGTGCCAAATTTCGGTTTGCCCATATTTCTTTTTAAACAAACTACTAGTTGGAGAATAACTCCAGGAAAACCTATTCCTCACCTCCGTTGCAGGGATGGTATGCCCTCGGCGTCCTCACGTCCAATACACAGGTCTATTCACAAAAGGGTGAAGAGTTTGGAGAAGACAGGAAAAGTGAACAATCTAGGACAAAATAGTTGATTTGGAAAAATTCTCCATTTCAGTTCACTTTCCATTTCAGCTATGTTGTCCTAGATTGTTCACTTCTCCTGCCTTCAAACTTTTCACCCTTTTGTAAATAACCCTGACGGTGTATTGGCCATGATGTCTCAAGGATCCTAAAGGTGTCCATACACTGCACGATTCTCTGCGGGTTAGTGGCGTGCTTGTTCGACAACTGCCAAACGGGCCAGTGTGTGCACGCACACACTGCCTGTCTGCAGTGATCGGAAGCCCGCCCCTCAGCGGGGCGGGCTTTCGATGATCGCAAGTACGATCTGCCTGTTCAAGATGGGCAGATCGTGCGAGCTTTTAATAAGCTTACGACCATCGCAAGACAAAAGTCTTGCGATGGTCTTAAGGTGTATGGGCACCTTTAGACCACTGGAGGGAGGTGGAGACAGGCTGGAGGGAGTGCTCTAAACGCCAGCTGGCTCCGAGGTGAGCATAAATTTGTTACACCCTAGATGAAAACAAACATTTAACCATTGAAGTGCGGGTAAAACCCCACTGCAAGAGTTGAGAATTGTTTTCCCGGAGTTCTTTAACACCATTAATGTGTTAGCCTATATGATTAATGGCTCATTCACATAATTGAACTAAGTTTCCATACATTTATTGTGTCTTATGGCTGTATATTTTCTTCTTCCTTTTGATTTTTATATGCTTAGAATTGCTTTGACCTTCTAATTGTTTGATTTCTACTCTTTTGCACAGTCAGGGAGGCACTGAAACATCTCAGAGCACCTGAACAGCAGCTCCACTGTTGATAATTTGCTAGTTTTTCAAAAAATATTTGTCTCTGATTAAATGTAAACCCATCAGAATTCACTTCAGTTGTTAGATTTCTTGCCAGAGGAATAGTTGATTCTTCTCTTGTGTATCACGCTGAATGGTTTAAATGCAAGCCATGTGTGCTGTCTGACCAGGTACGGCTTATAGCAGCCTAATTTATTCATGTTGCAGCTATGACCTTTTTCTTTCTATTTTGCAAGATGAACCATCCCACAGTGAGTGTCCTAAAGTCATTTGACATCTCTCTCTCTTCCCTCCCTCTGATTTTAGCATTACACCCACTCCTCTTGGTGAAGGAAAAAGCACAGTTACCATCGGGTTGGTGCAAGCACTCACCGCACATAAAAATATCAATTCTTTTGCATGTTTGAGACAACCTTCACAAGGGCCCACTTTTGGGGTTAAAGGTAAGTTTGGAATAATAGCTGGAGAGCCGAGTTTTGTGAACTGCATTCTTTACATAAAACCAAATATCTCCATAAATAGAAGTTGCTTTTGGGTCTGGGTAAATAAAATGTGCTTAGCATGCATTATCACATTGCAGGGCAAAGCACCTGCTATATGTACAGAAAAAAAAATGCTGGTAGGTATAGATTTTTTTTTTTTTTTCAATACACTTTATTTCGTTTTGAAACATAACATATAGTACCATGCGTTGAGCATGACAACATCACAACAGGTAATGTGAAGATTACATTTGGGCGCTCATTTGGCCGTGCCAACATGCTCTGAAAGGATCAACTTGTATCGATTACAGCGCACATAGTACTAAGAGCATAGTATGCCTAAAATAGTAACTAATACAGACAGTGACAAAAGCAAAAACAAAAACATAAACATAAACATGAGCATATCCGAACTTGGTATAAGGAATCAGCAGTACCCCTGTCTGGAGGTTATGCCATATTTGGTAAGGGTGATCCTCACTGATAGAAATTCCTATAGATATTCCCCTTATACACACCGTTAACCCTCTTCCTAAAGCTGCCCCGTCACTGGAGTGAGATGTACTTACATGTATGTAAAGTAGGGTTGGAACAGACAGAAGGAGGTTATTTCCCTATCCGACCTGTATCTACCTTTTCCATTGGACCTTGTTGATTTGCTCTATGTCACCTCTCCCATTTTAGCCAAAAGGACGCTCTTAGAAAACCTAAATGGATATAAAAATTTCTCTTTTTCTGCTGCAGTGAAAACATGGGTGATAAAGGATATCCATCTATTATAGAAGGCCGTAATGTTTTTTTCCTCTTCCGTCTGGGATTCGGCTTCCAGTTTTTCTAAGTGGAGCAAACCGAGGAGGTCCTCTTTGAGCCTTTGTATAGTAGGTGGGGTGGGAGAAAGCCATTCTCTCATTATGCATCTTCTAGCCGCTAGCAGAGAGATGTTTGTCCACTGCTTATCATATTTACTTAGTGTAGAAGGTGTTTCCCAATAATTAAATAGCATTAGAAGAGCGTCCACTGGGATCTTCTGGCCCACCACAGACTCCAAAAATAAACTTACAGAGGCCCAGAAAGATTGGATCAGGGGACAAGTCCACAAACAATGGAACAAGGGAGCAGCGGGCATCTTACATTTTGGGCAGTGATCGAGATAGGCTATGTCACCGTCTTGTTTATGCTTGATCTGAAAAGCGTAGTATGCTCTGTGGATAATGCGGTACTGTGTTTCTCTCCACTGTTCATTTATCACGACTGAGCATGTGTTTCGGTACCCCTGCAAGATCTTTTCAACAATATCTTCTACATGAACGTCATTTTGCCATTTGGCCATATTTGAGTGAGTTAAGGAAGGGGTATTTGTTTGTCTTAGACAGGCGTACACATCGGAGATGGATCTCCTGCCCGCTGACAATAGTCTATCGATTGGTGTGGTTTCGGTACAACTATACAAAGTGGGTTTTATTTTTTGTGATTTAAAGCCTGCATGAAGTGCAGAAACTCACCGGCAGGGACCTGATATCTGAGTTGAAAGGCAGGGAACGAGAGCATTTTATTAGAATATTTATCAATTAGGTGCACAAGGCTGGTAATACCCTTCTTTTCCCATCTCGCAAATGTCTGATACTCCTCCCCCTGTGGAAATGAAGGGTTGCCCCTGATTCCCAAGTGGCGAGAAAAATGGGGTACCGATAACACTTTACGTATGTTCGAGACAGCAGAGCGGCCTTTAACAAATCCTACCTGGGCAGGTGAAATTAAGCGCGGCAGCAATGTAGCTAGTCTATCCGCCACTATTTTTGACAGCAGCTTGGCATCAGCATTTATGAGTGAGATAGGGCGGTATGACCCAGGTAGAGTGGGATCCCTGTCTTTTTTGGGTAACAGTTTTATATATGCTTCGGTCCCTGTCTGCATGTTCGGTGCAGAATGTTGGCGCGATGCTGATTCTTCACGGAGAATCTGTGGGGGTCATAGGGAGTCGCACTGGTGTATTGCGTGCCGGTGTGCCAGGTCTTGGGAGGCGGGGAGATCGATCTCTCTCCAGGCGGGGAGCTTGGGAATCCATACGATCCAGATATCCCTGTGCTTCGGCGGGATCCTGGAAGGACTGCTGTGAGCCGTCTGACGCTTGGAATCGAAGAACTGCTGGGTATGCCAAGGTAAATCTGACCTTCTTCTGATATAGACGCGTGCAAACTGTGCTGAATGCTTTGCGTTTCTTGGTTACTTCTGCAGAGTAATCAGCGAAAATCAGGAGACGGTGGCCATCAAGATAGAGCTCTTTCTTAGCGCGAAAGGCTTGAATGACCGCCACGCGGTCATTATAATCCAGGTAACGGGCGATAACTTGCCTCGGTGTTTTCCGATCCGGATTTGCAGGCCCTACCCGGTGAGCCCGCTCCACCTTGCAGGTGGGATCGAGGCCGAGGAGGTCCGGGATATTATGGGCGCATATGGCCAGTAGCTGCGACGGGCGATACGATTCCGGCAATCCGATGATCCGCACATTATTACGGCGTGACCGGTTTTCCAGGTCGTCCACTCGTTCTAGTAGGTGGCTCACCTGTCGTTGGGCCGCGTCTAGCTGGGTTGAGGACTTGTCTGCTCCCTCTTCCAGAGAGGCGATACGATCTTCGGCCTCCGAGATCCTCTGGGCCTGCTTCAGGAGGTCGTGTCTGATTGCCTGTATGCCTTTAGAAACCGCCTTGTTGACTGCCTCCTGGATGGTAGGACGGAGCAGTTTCGCTACCTCCGCTGCAATCAATGTAGGATCCGAGGTGTTAGGCATGTCTCCCTCCGAAGATATACTGCCATCCGGCATATCCGGCAGCGCGGCCATTTTGGGTAGGTATTGCACTCGTTTAGCCCGGGTCGGCGTACTCTTGGTACGGGGTCCAGCACGACGTTTAGCGAGGAATTTGTCCATCTTCCCGACCGTCCAGGGGGGAACGAGTGGTTAGAGGGTACCTCAGGCGAAGTTAGATTAGCTGAAATATGATTTTATATGCGAATGGGCGCTGGCCGTGCGGGAGCTCTTCACTCTGCTTCCACTACATAGGGCGCCGGAACCGGAAGTCCGGTATGGATTTTTGACAGAAGAGGTATGCAAAGTCTCTTCTGCCAAAAAAACTTCCTTTCTTCCCCTGTGATTCTTTTAAAAGAATAGTAAACAGAAATCTGCGCTAATGGAAAAACGTCAATTCACATTTATGTGAATAAAGTGTGAATTTAAGTGCCAGTGAGTGACAACCAAGGAAAAAAAATATATTAGATTGAGTGATTATTAATCAAAAATGTGTAAAACCACTCTCCAAGAAACAACCAAGGTAACATATATTAAATTGAATGCTAATAATCCAAAATATGTGCAAACACTGTCAGAACATAATGCTGTCCTAACAACAAAGTGCTGTGCAAAATGTATCGGTGAAGCAATGTTGCAAAAACATAAACATAGGTGAAAACAATGTTGCAAACACCACATTAATAACAAAATAGCAACAACAAGTATATACAATGTGTATATCAAAGTGATGAAGATGATGTTTCCTTTAGATATCTCGTAACTAGCCAGAAAGAACCAAAGGTGAATCTTCTATTTAAATCAAGCTTAATTTAAGCTCAGTATACCGTGAGCTACAGCTCACGGTATGCTAAAGCGGATCCCGACAATTATGTCTGGATCCGCCCAGCTGCGTGAGTGACAGCTGGCCCTGCCTATCTAGAGGCAGAGCCAGCTGTACCCGCCCCCTCCCCCGTCCGTTCCGCCAGTCAGCGCTGGAGGATCGGGGAGGGGGGAATCCAGTCCCTCCCCTGTCACGGCTCTATGCCGTGACAGGATCGAGAAGTGAGCGAACGCCGGTATGTGTTCGCTCACTTCCCGATCTACTGAGCCGACCTGTGACCGTTTCATTGTCACAGGTCGGCTAGAACTATGAGGTGAGTGAAAAGCACTCGCCTCATAGTTCTCCTTTTAAGCTAAGCTATTCACCCTAAAAATCTTCCCTGTCCGCTTGTAGTATTCTGACAGCCAACATCTGCAGAATACCCGAACAGTGACTGCAGCTTATTGGCTGCAGTTGCTGTTCAAAATATGTTTAGGCTGAAAATTTTAAGCCGATCGATTTTGTTGGTTGAGCCGGGTGGTGTAGGGTCAGCTTTAGACTCGGTTTCTACGAACGGTTTCTAGAAAGGTCGTGCCACGTAAGCAAAGCTTAGTTAGCCGTTCTTAGTTAAGCATAATGTAGAAAAAGCCTTCTGTCTATATGAATATGCTTACTCGGACATAAAGCAGAATGGCAGACAATTTTTTTTATTAACCCTTGAAGTGGGGCTACCCCCACACTGGAAGGGCTAACTGCTCGTTTCTATCTAGGTCTCAGTATACAGTGAGTTGTAGCTCGCGGTATACTGAGCTTTGGGTCACGGGATAGTACGGGATAGTTCTCTTTTTAATTCCTAATCACAGCGGTACACATTTTCTGTATACATTTTTATGTAATGCTGATGCACTTTTTATCAAAGTGAGTTTCTTTTAAAATATATAAAGAACTCAATGAGTGAATTCTAGCTTGAAAGGGTTTGAACTATACCTGGTTTGTTGTTGCTGAGCTTTGGGTCACGGGATAGTACGGGATAGTTCTCTTTTTAATTCCTAATCACAGCGGTACACATTTTCTGTATACATTTTTATGTAATGCTGATGCACTTTTTATCAAAGTGAGTTTCTTTTAAAATATATAAAGAACTCAATGAGTGAATTCTAGCTTGAAAGGGTTTGAACTATACCTGGTTTGTTGGTGATTTAACCCCTTCGTGACTGACGACGTACAGTGTACGTCGCCAGCATCGGGGCTGTTTAAACAGACTCTGTTTTAAACTTGTAAAGCCGACTGTCGGCTTTACAACAGAAGCGATTCTGGCGACTTACCTGTCGCCAGATCGCTTCTGTGTCCCGTAGAAGGGGCGCCCCCCCCCGCCGGACACCGCTGCCGTGCTTCCCGGGCTCCGTTGCTCCTCCTACGTCCTTGGTGTCCGCGGGGAGCTGGGGAGGAGGTCGAACTTCCATTCATCGATCCCCTCCCCGTTCTATGGGACCGGGAGCGATGCAGATTGCATCACTTCCGGTCCCTGGGCTGTCGGTTCTGGCTCCTGCAGCCCAGCTATAAGCTATTGAAGTGCGATCTGCACTTCAATAGCTTATTTCCAGTGTAAAGCTGACACTGGGGGTCTTTTGGACCCCCAGCATCACCTTTTAAAGAGTTGAGCGAACGCCGGTATGTGTTCGCTCACTTCCCGATCTACTGAGCCGACCTGTGACCGTTTCATTGTCACAGGTCGGCTAGAACTATGAGGTGAGTGAAAAGCACTCGCCTCATAGTTCTCCTTTTAAGCTAAGCTATTCACCCTAAAAATCTTCCCTGTCCGCTTGTAGTATTCTGACAGCCAACATCTGCAGAATACCCGAACAGTGACTGCAGCTTATTGGCTGCAGTTGCTGTTCAAAATATGTTTAGGCTGAAAATTTTAAGCCGATCGATTTTGTTGGTTGAGCCGGGTGGTGTAGGGTCAGCTTTAGACTCGGTTTCTACGAACGGTTTCTAGAAAGGTCGTGCCACGTAAGCAAAGCTTAGTTAGCCGTTCTTAGTTAAGCATAATGTAGAAAAAGCCTTCTGTCTATATGAATATGCTTACTCGGACATAAAGCAGAATGGCAGACAATTTTTTTTATTAACCCTTGAAGTGGGGCTACCCCCACACTGGAAGGGCTAACTGCTCGTTTCTATCTAGGTCTCAGTATACAGTGAGTTGTAGCTCGCGGTATACTGAGCTTTGGGTCACGGGATAGTACGGGATAGTTCTCTTTTTAATTCCTAATCACAGCGGTACACATTTTCTGTATACATTTTTATGTAATGCTGATGCACTTTTTATCAAAGTGAGTTTCTTTTAAAATATATAAAGAACTCAATGAGTGAATTCTAGCTTGAAAGGGTTTGAACTATACCTGGTTTGTTGGTGATTTAACCCCTTCGTGACTAACGCCGTACAGTGTACGTCGCCAGCATCGGGGCTGTTTAAACAGACTCTGTTTTAAACTTGTAAAGCCGACTGTCGGCTTTACAACAGAAGCGATTCTGGCGACTTACCTGTCGCCAGATCGCTTCTGTGTCCCGTAGAAGGGGCGCCCCCCCCCGCCGGACACCGCTGCCGTGCTTCCCGGGCTCCGTTGCTCCTCCTACGTCCTTGGTGTCCGCGGGGAGCTGGGGAGGAGGTCGAACTTCCATTCATCGATCCCCTCCCCGTTCTATGGGACCGGGAGCGATGCAGATTGCATCACTTCCGGTCCCTGGGCTGTCGGTTCTGGCTCCTGCAGCCCAGCTATAAGCTATCGAAGTACGATCTGCACTTCAATAGCTTATTTCCAGTGTAAAGCTGACACTGGGGGTCTTTTGGACCCCCAGCATCACCTTTTAAAGAGTACCTGTCACCACCATCTGCTATCACATGGGGGCGGGGGGGCTTATAAGCCCCCCCATGTGATAGCAGTCAAAGTAAAGTGAAAAAAATAAATAAATAAAATAAATCCAATAATAAAATGTTTTTAAAAGTCTCCCGCCCCGTGAGCACGCGCGTCGCCATGTAAACACGCGTTGGGTGCGCCTACGTATAAAAACGACGAACGCGCTACACATGTTGGGTATAGCCGCGCATGCCGGAGTGAGAGCAATAATTCTAGGGCCAATATTTTGGGGTATCTCTAAATTGATGACCTGTAGGGGCTTTTAAAGCGTCTTCTATGGACTTTTTGGGGTACTGCAGTTTTTCGCCGTTTCACGGACGCACGCAATTTGTAATCTGAGCATGTTGGGTATCGTTTTACTCGTTGTAACCTCATATTTTATATTTCGTTATAAAAAAATTGGTATTTTGGGGCATTTAATTACATTTTGGGGTTGGGGTTTAATAAGGAGTTGCGCTAATATTGCGCAACATTAAAATTTTGCAACTACCACCATTTTATTCTATAGGGTCTTCAGGCCTCAGTCATGAAGGGGTTAAGGGATGGAGCAATAGCGAAGAACCATTTACTTTTACAGTGTCTTTCGTGGCACTTTTCTAGTTTAATGACTCATACTAAAAGTTTGTATCTTTTTATTTTTGGCTTTGCAATTTAATTTTTGTTATATTTATAGGTGGAGCAGCGGGGGGTGGCTATGCTCAAGTTATCCCTATGGAAGAGGTATATACAAGCAGATTATTTTTTATTGCATGGAAAATGTTGGTTGTCTGGTACATTGATCCAATTTCTTCAACACTTGGTGACCCAGAGCAAGCATGCAGATCGGGTCTTTCTGATGTTGCTGGCTGCATGCTAGATGTGGGAGCAGCTCAAAATATTGAACTTGCCTGTCTAGGAGAGGCCAGCAATAGCATCCTATATACTTTTCTCATTACAAGTCTCATTTGAACACACCTGTGGATGTAGATTGCTAACCAATCCATCTAACTTGTAGTTAGACTACATTTTAGTTAAGTAAATGCAAATAAAGCATTAGGACCTGATAATCTACACCCCAAGGTACTCAAAGAATTGAACAAGGAGATAACAAGACCATTGTTCCTCATTAAGGAATCCGTAATGGCTGGTATAGTGCCAGGAGACTGGCCAAAGGCTAATGTGGTACCTATATTCACAAAAAAGGGTAAAAATGCCAACCGGAGAACTATAGACCAGTTAGTCTAACATGCATAGTATGTAAACTGTTAGAGGGAATTATTAAGGACTACTTAGTGGAATTCGTCCGGGATCATAGTATAATAAGTGATGTGCAGCATGGATTTAGGAAGGATCGTTCTTGCCAGACCAACCTGCTGACCTTTTATGAAGAGGTAAGTAGAGATCTGGATGGTGGGAGGACAATGGACGTAGTGTATCTGGACTTTGCCAAAGCATTTGATACTGTGCCACATAAACCTTGAAAAATAGTTCAGATACCTTTTTTTTTTTAATCTGTCATCTGTGCGCATGGAAGGGCCCATGGAAGTCGCTAGGAGGGCATGAAAACCCTTGCCAATGCATAGTTACGGATGTTTAATGTGCTCTTGGCTTTGCTGCACTGAGAAAATGGCAGGTTTTTCTTGTACCACCCAATCTGGGAAAAAGAACAATGAAAATTAACAGATTCTTGAAAAATGCATAAAAGTGGAAGCACAGAAGTGTGAAGCCAGCCTAAATGTTTACTTCAAATGCCCCTTTAGATTAGTACTTAATGTCTAAACGACAAAACTTATTTATCCTAACAGTTTACTGTGTGTAATGATTTCACCAAGTACCAGGTATGTGAACTGATTTTCTTGTTTTGCAGTTTAATTTACACTTGACGGGTGACATTCATGCCATTTCAGCAGCCAATAATTTGTTGGCAGCTGCCATAGATGCCAGGATTCTGCATGAGAACACTCAATCAGACAAGGTAATTGTTGGTGGAAGCTACAGCATTCCTCCCGGGTACTTTGTCAAAGTGAAATGTTCTATTTCAGATCTATGGACTGTATTGTATAGATATAATGTTTTTTTTAAATATTTTGTCTGCCCAGTTTCTTGAAGTCTGACATGTTATGCCGTTTTTATACAAGGACTTCTGTCTTTTTCAGGCTTTATATAATAGACTTGTTCCTTCCATTAATGGGGTCAGACATTTTTCTCCGATCCAGATTGCTCGTTTAAGGGTAAGTTTTTTTAGCAATTGGTTGTCTTTTTAAATTATGAATGAGCTATGAATGATGTGGTTTTATATGTAATATAATACACACACACACATAACAAAGGGGAGTCTATATGCACACTAATGAGGACACCGCTAAAGCGAACAGTTTGGATAATCGAATCCAATGTGAGAATGTCAGTGGTTTCTTGCCCTCGTTTTTCCATGCATCAAGCCCAATACAAGATCTCCAGACAGAAGATTTTTGGGATAAGGTTGACAGGTTCTAGCCCACAAACACTGCATCCCAAACTGGGCTTTTGTATGATGTTTGTTAAAGCCACGTAATATTGCCCCTGCCTTTCTTAAATGCGCGCAGGTGGCATTTTTGTACAGTGTAACAAGAAATGGGTTGCCGACAAGGTGGCGGTTTTCACAAAAAAAAAAAAAATTGCTAGAAGCTGCTGTACCTAACATACAAATATTTCCAACCATAATGTGCTTATGTTTTAGTATCTAAATCTACCAATATTGTGTGCTGAGATGTGGCTGTATTACCCATTGGTTACAATGGTTTTAATACAGTATAATGAAAAGATAAACATAATTACATTGAAAAGATGAGCTTGATCACAATTGTTAGGTGTGTGTGTGTAATATATATAGAATATTTATATTCTCTCTAATAAGGCTCACATTTGTACTGTAAGTGCTATCTGTATGACATAAAAAGAATATAGGTTTAAAATCTAGTGGACACTTGTTTAGTGATTGTGGGCGAGTACTATATAATGAAAGCATTATGGCTTTACGGTTTTAATAATACCTCTAGAGACTACAGTCCGCCGTTCTGACTCCATATGTCTGGACTGCGTTCCTTGACTTTTAACCCTGCTTTCTCATTAATCAAACGCTGAATATTCCTTTGACATGTGCAACATAGTTTACTTAAGGAAGGACCTAGTTGCCTTAATACTGAGACATTATCAATGTAAAACTAGCATTGAAAAAAAGTTAATTAGCAGCCACTAGGTGGCGGTCGGTCCATTACCAGCACAATTTTTTTTACTAAGCCATTTGACGGGAGCCTGCCTTTTTAAAACTGGACATTGGTGTGTTTGAAGGCTCCCTGGCAGCTCATTTTAACTGGGGACATAGAAAGCAAAATATTTTTGTGGAATGGTTTCAATTACCCCAGCATCCTGACCGCACTAACCATGTTTTTGACAAATGTTACATACTTCAAAAATCCAATATTTATTGCAAGAACTGTATGCGCAGGCTTCTGTTCTATTAGTGCCTTGTAACTGATGGTGAAGACACTGTAAGATCACAATTATCTAATACGAAAAACCCTTGAGAAAAAAAAAACACACCACGGCAACCCGCTCCGAGGACAGTGGCAGGTGGGGTGTTTGACTGGGGCGGTACACCTGTCAAACGGTAACGCAGGTGTCCTAAAGTGAGCTGAGGGAGGACAGAAACCTCCCGTGGAGCAGAAGGGCGAAAAGCTCGCTTGATCTTGATTTTCAGAATGAATACAGACCGTAAAAGCGAGGCCTTGCGATCCTTCTGACTTTTTTGGGTTTTAAGCAGGTGTCAAAAGTTACCACAGGGATAACTTGCTTGTGGCGGCCAAGCGTTCATAGCGACGTCGCTTTTTGATCCTTCGTCGGCTCTTCCTATCATTGTGAAGCAGAATTCACCAATTGGATAACTCTCTCTCGTAGTAATTATGATTCTGTGACATTGGAGACTGTTTAGTGTGTTTCTGCTCTGGTCTCCTGTTTTGAGGAGGATGTCAAAAGCCTTTTAGTGAGGTACTCTTTCAAATATTAGCAAGTCTGATAGTTTCTCTAGCTCTTTTATACAAGCTCGGAGCTGAAAGGATGATTTATTCTTAAACTGTCTAGCTAAAAATGTTCACCAGTGGATGTTTTCCCATTTTTTTTAATTTTTTATTTTTTATTTTCAGGGGTATTTTTTTTCTTGAGTTTTTCAGACTATTTTGATGACATTGGCCTTTTAAATAAGCTATTTTTGTAGTTCAGCTCCTCAGGTATTGGGCACAAGCTTGTTCTTTGCAGAGTCAATAGATCTATCAAAGTGACAGCATTTCTTGAAAACGTATCAAGGTTTTCCTAGGTGTGTTGAAAGCTGATGTACCTCTTGTTACCCTTTATGCAGATTCCTCTTGACCCATCATAATAGGAGGCCATATTGAACTATGGAAATTAGGGGGGGGAAAAGTAAATTTTCTTTTTTTTGTCCATTGAGGTACACAAGATATCTTTTACCTTTTTGGGTTCTACTTCCTCGTACAGGAGGATTTGACACTGGCAAACAAAATAATGGTAGGGCATCCCAGGATAACCCCTTCTACCACTTGCTTGCCTTTGCCACTGCTGTCCTAAGAGGATCGATGTCTTCAACTTTGATGTCTGGAAGACATCGCCCAACTGACACCCAACCTGCAAAGAGCCACGTTGAACTTCACTGCTCAATCCATTCTTGCTGCTCGTCTACAGTGAGCATGGTCATCACCAGCCATCTGATCTTCACCTGATACCAACTGCCTGGGTTTTGTGACTACCTCCTACCATAAATATTAAATTGCCTTAGAGCCACACATTTGCAACATGTCTGATTCTAAATCCTGGAATTGGACGACAGGTCTTGATCCTGTAATCCTGTGCTTCGGAAATTGATTCTATCCTCTTAAGCTCTGCATGGTGTGACCAGTTAATCTGCCCTTTTACGTTGAGGTTTTTATTAGTAATTTAAGACTTTGTTCCCCCCTTTTTAAGTAGTTCCTCTGGATATGTAGCGCTGAATCTGGTTCTCTGTGCTTCAGAAAGCGCTGTTTAAGCCAATTGGACATATTCCTTTTATCCTCACTGGGTGGTGTTTCTTGTAGCCATCAACTCTGTTAGGTGAGTGTCTGAACCTACAGCCTTGTTCTGCAAGGAACCTTCTCTGGTTTTCCATAGGGACAAGGTGGTGTTGGAGGCCCAGGATTTCCTTTTAACCTAAGGTAGTTTTCTGCCTTTCCTCTCAATCTGGACACTGTTCTTCTTTCTCTGTCCCGCTTCAGTTCAGTGAAAGGCAATTTACCTCCATTGTTTGTTTGGATGTGTTTCGGGCCACTGCTTTTTTTTTTTAGAAAGGTCTATTTGGCATTTTGTAATCCTGAATAGTCCCCATAAGAGTACACTGGCTTCTTACTTCACCATCTCTAGGTGGTTCAGAAAAGTCATCATTCATACTTTGGTCTCCAGGATTGGGATCCACCCCATCACTATTCTAGATCTGAGTGCTTTATGGGGTTTTCAGCAATAGGCAACTGTTTTCCAGATTTGCAAGGCTGCCATCAGGTCTTCTGTTCACACATTCTCTAAATTCTATCAGGTGAATGTTGCAGCCTTGTCTGATGCCATATTCAGTTGCAGGGTCCTTAACCTCTTGCCGTCCGCCCGTAGTAAAAAAACCGACTTTGCGAACACCCGGTACCGGGTGTTTCACATATAGGCGATCAGCGGGTCCATAGCCCGCCGATCGCCTATATGTGCTCATTTGCGGCACCCCCCTCCCCCTATATAATAGCAATAACAATAAGTGCAAAAAAATAAATATAAATAAAAAAAAATCAAAGTAACAAAGTTAAATAAAAGTCACATATTGCCGATCGCCTATATGTGCTCATTTGCGGCACCCCCCTCCCCCTATATAATAGCAATAACAATAAGTGCAAAAAAATAAATATAAATAAAAAAAAATCAAAGTAACAAAGTTAAATAAAAGTCACATATAAAAAACTCCCCCACCCCCACGTTTACGCGCCTATAAACGTAAATACGCGTCCGGTGCCCCAGCGCGCAAAAATTACAATTGCGCTACACATGTTACATATCGCCGCGAACGTGTCAGTGAGAGCAATCATTTTAGGGCCATCAATCACTGATAACATTAAACTGATGAGCGGTAACAGCTTTTAAAGCGTCGCCTATGGCCAATTTTGGGTATTATCGTTTTTTGAGGTTT